AGACAAACAGAACGTAGCCAGTCTGTGGGACCCTGTGAGAGCAGCAGACACTGGACTATGACAGGGCTGTGTTTGTGATGGTGGAAACTGTAAACATTTACCAAGCCAGTCAGGCATACCACCTTTCTGGAACCACACGCAGTCACAAGCTTTTCTAACTGAGCCAGAAGAGCAGTGTTCTGCCACCTTCCTTCAGATCAAGTGGCTCTCCCCAGTGCCCACTCGATATCATTCAGTTGGTCACTCAGATCCTAACCTCTCTCAACTCTGACCTAGTCTATAGTTTTGTTTCTTGAGTGAATTTCTTTGTTTAGTCTGCTTAATGCAGTCTGTTTAGTACAAATGAAACATCACCTGATTATTCTCTCATTAAATGCATCATTGGACGCTCCCACTAATTCTGCAATTATTCCTTTCAGAGGTATGATGAAGCTAGCAGAACAAAAATAAAGATAATTAATAAATGTGTTAGTGTATTGGTCCTGTTGCAGGGCTTTGAAGCAAAAAAATAGAAAGGAAAAAACAACACAATTATGATAGAAGTGTTTTGGGCTCTTAAGGCTGATGTCATAATTAATTTAAAAGGTCTATATAATAATCACAGTGTGAGGGTGAAGGACATAACTCAGTTACTAGAATGTTCTTTTAACACCCATGAAGCCCTGACTCTATCCCTAGCACTTCACACACCAGACCTGGTGGTGTGCACATGTAATTCCAGTACTCAGGAGGTAGAGACAGGAGGATCAGGAGTATAAGTCACTCCTGGCTACATAGCAAGTTCAAGTCCAGCCTCAGATATTTGAGGCCCTGTCTCAAATGGGGCGGGGTCTGGGGGAGAGTTAAAGATATGGCTCAAAGAGGTGCTTCCTGTACAAACATGAGTGCTAGAATCAGTCCTCAGACTCCACAGAGGAAAAAGCTGGACGTGACGGCATGTAGCACTGGGTGGCACGTAGCTCTGGGTGGCACGTAGCACTGGCTGGCACATAGCACCAGGGTTACAGATAGCACTGGGAAGACACAGATAACGTCTGGGGCCTCTAGCTAGCCAGCTTAGCTAACTGGCCAGCCCCAGGGCCCAGTATCAGACCCTGTCTCATAAAACAAGTTGATTGGCTCCCAACACCCAAAGTTGACCTCTGACCTCTACATGTACATTCATGTACCTTCACACACACCCCACAAACATGTAAATCTTTTAAAAATCATATTTGCTAAGATGAGTGTGGTGGCACGCACTTATAATTACAGCATTTAAGAAACTGAGGCTGAAGCCGAGTGTTGGTGTTGCAAACCTTTAATCCCAGCACTTGGGAGGCAGAGGCAGGCAGATCTCTGTGAGTTCGAGGCCAGCCTGGTCTACAGAGGGAGTTCCAGGACAGCCTCCCAAATAATACAGAGAAACCCTGTCTCGAAAAACCAAAAAAAGAAAAAGAAAAGAAAAAAAAGAAACTGAGGCTGGAGGATTGCCGTGAGTTTGAGGCCAGCAAGGGCCACCTAGTAAGACCCTATTTCAAGAAACAAAAATACACAGAAAGAAGAAAGGAGGAAAAAGACAGATAAGTTTCCTCTAATATCTTCTCCAGAGATTTTTTAATATTTTCATTTCTTTGAAAATTCCATACAATATAATTAGATCATATTAATTCCCCTCCCTCAATGATTCCCAGTTCCTCCCTGATTTCCCTATCTACCCAACTAAGTGTTCTCATATCTCTCTTTGTCTTAAGCAAACAAACACAGAGTCCAATTTCTTTTGGGCCCTGCTAAAAGGGTCTCCAAAATCATGGGAAGTAGTTTCAAAGTAATTTAACACAACAAATGTTGCACCTTTACAAAAATAACCTTCTGGGAACCATCGTGTCAGTGCCTAATTCTGACAGATTGCTGGGTGTGAATTTCACCTGCCACTTGTTAGGACACAAGGGCCTGACTCAGGACAGCCTGAGAGGAAAAAGGAGACTTGCAGAAATGTAATTATGAGGGGACCTCTTGTGCCACAAGGTTTTCAAATGTCCTGCATCCTGTAGGACAGGCATTCAGTCTACAGATGCTGTCGACTAAATGCCTCACAAGCCAGGAACAGTGCATCCAACAGCAAACACAGACTGCTCAGACTTACCCAGAGGAAAACAAACCAACATGTAAATACAATGCACCACCAGCTATGAAGTCTTTGGGTGGACAACATCACCTCAGAAGCTGTTTGGCTTCATGCTGGCATCTGAGACACATCTGACCTCTTTGAAGTCCTGCTGTGTGTCGCTCTCTCTGCCTGTTTCCCTGTGAATCCTCAGAAGTGGGCTGCATCCGCCAGGTATGAAACAGCCACAATGATGATCTCAAATGTGAGATGTCAGCAAGGATTAGCTTCACAGCTGTGTCATCCTCTGCCTCTGCGTCTCGTCTCCTGCCTGTACCTGCAAAGCTCGTGTGGATACCTGCAAGAGGAATTTGTGTTTATTTTTTCATTTTCTCTTATTTTGACATGTGTGTGCATGCGTGTGTGTGTGAGTGTGTGTGTGTGTGTGATGTTTGTGGTGCATATATATGTGTGTGTTCGCTCACCCATGTGTCCTCAGAAGCCAGAGGGAGATGTCAGGCGTCCTGCTCTACCACTCTTTGCATTACGCCTTTGAGACGGGGTCTCTCATTGAAACTGAAGCGAGGCTTATAGCCAGGAAGCCCCAGACTATCTCTGGCCTCCTACCTCACCAAATTGCTGGGGTCACAATTTACCCTTTTTGATTTTAACCACCCCACCAAATTGCTGGGGTCACAATTTATGCCAAGCTAGAGTCAAATGGGAAGAGGAACCTTAGTTGAGAAAAGTGCTTCCATCAGAATACCTGTAGACAAATCTGTGTTTTCTTGATTGTTAGTTGAAAGAGGAGGACCTACCCGACTAGGAGTGGTATCACCCCTGCACAGGTGGTCCTAAGTGATATAGGAAAGCAGGCTGAGTGAACCATGGGAAACAAACCAGGAAGCAGCACCCCCTCCAGGACTTCTGCTTCAATTCACGCCTGGAGTTCCTGCCCTGACTTCCCTCAATGAAGGATTGATATCAGGAAATGCACAGAGAAGTGAACCCTTTCCTCTCCAAGTTGCTTTTGGCCGTGACGTCTATCATAGCAATAGAAACCAAATGAGATACATGGTCACCCTCACATTTTTATGGGAACTAAGGGGAATTAACTCAGGTCCTTGTACTTTCTCAGCAGTGCTCCTACCTACCTAACCATCTCTCTCACCCCTTTCTGTTTTACCACCGCCTGTCTTCCTACTCTTTGGGCTCTGTCTTTCTGGTTCCTCTAAGTCCCATCTGGTTGTTCTCTCCTTACTGCAAAACTCCATGGGATTACAGCCCCACACCGAAGTCTGGTTGTGGTAACCTACCTGTTTGATACAGGCTACCAGTACTTTAAAATTTTAAAAAGAGTCTTTGGGCATCATAAAATAATGATTGCTGCTTCAGTGGTATATGTTCAAAGGTCAAGAAGAAATACACTAGGAAAGTCTGCCCACTTTCTTTTTTCAACTACATGCTTCTAACCAACCCAATGGAGTTATATAATGGACCTGTGAAAGAAGTAATTCCACATCTCTTACCTGTTTGCCTACACAAAGCATAGAAAACAGGCTATGAAATAATCAAGGCCTAGAGAGTCCCTGTTAGGTCTGCTGTATTAGGCCAACAATGTCTTCACATGTCTTAAGGGTTAGAAGGGAAAAAATGCTAGTACTGAAGGGCAAAATGGGTCTGCCAAATGCCAACCAAGCCTACTGTCTGCCTTTTATTACTGTAGGGAACTGGGCCTGGGTTTAGTATTTTCATGACCAGTTTCAAAGTAAGGATCAAATCAGTGCTCCCCAGAAAACCCTTAAGGAGAAATACACTTAATAATGTAAATCTCAAGGTTTGGTGAAAACGTTTGCTTAGCATTCAAGAGGTCCAGGGTTCAATTCTTAGTACCACCACCAAAGGGGAAAAAAACATAAGGAGTTAAACAGTGCAGCCCTCAGGGGCAGAGCTGCATATGAAGAGCTGATGTTAGACTGAATGATTCAAGTCCCATTTTGGCTCCCCACCCTCTATCCTTGGAGAGGATATAGAACCTCAGTTTCCTCATCCACAAAGAGAAACAAGAGGATTGTCGTGGGGATTAAATGACACTGTATGTGTAAGAGACATACTCTGATATTTGGCCACGTCCTGAAGGAGCTAAGGTATCATCATATAACTACTGGCTGCATAGAATTCATTAGACTCTAGAACATGGATCAGAAAACTTTTCCTTTAATGGTAAGACAATATATATTTCAGGTTTTGGAAGCCATATGCCATGTCACAATTACTCAGTTCTGTCCTAGCTGCTTAATAGTGGCTATATAATTGTGAATTGGTACAAATGCAATGTATTGGGGGGTCACATTTGATCTGTGGGATATAATTTGCTGGTTCCTGCTCTGGTAGATGACCAATAGATTATAAAAACTCTGACAAGAAATGCAGACTCTTAAATTAGGACAATCAATAAAGATGAGGGGTTAAGTAAAAAGCATTGACGAGTTCAGCCTTTCATTGGACCTCTCTAAGGTTTCCATACAGATTCTACAAACAACAGTGCCAATCCTTCTTTCTGGAAAAATCCTTTTAAAAGTTGCAATTTCTGACACACAGGGACAATAAAAACAAAAAAACCCAAAAACCCCAAAATAAAAAATACAAACCCACAAGCTGTGGCTAGAGCTGCTCATCAATTGAGGGCACTCGGCTGCTCTTGCATAAGACCTAAATTTGCTTCTTAGCGCATGCATTGGACAACTCACAGGAGATCTAATGCCCTCTTCTAGCCTCCATGGACACATTCACATAGGTGGAAGAGTCAAGGAGATCTCTATGGGTTCAAGACCAGCCTTGTCTACACAGAGAGTTCCGAGCCAACCAGGGCTACACAGTTAGACTCAGTCTTTTTCTTTTTCTTTTTTTTAAGGTAGAAGAATTGAAGGGACTGTGGTGATCAAGAACAAGCATAGCTTGATGATGGCATCTTGGAACTGCTGTCTCCTTGCTTCCTGGAACATGAAGGAAAACAACTATTAGATGACGTCACATTAGCCCATGTTCTCTAACATGTGGTTGAATATCATCCATAAATGGTCTATATAAGTATAGGGCCAAAGCTAGGATGCTGTAAAACACAAGATATCCTGCCATTCTGTACACCACTTATAAAGAAAAATATTACCAAGTATGCTATAACATAGCACGAAGACGGTCCCATTAGACGTGTGCTATTAGATACCACTTTTCTTTGAAGTTTCTACTCCAAAGGCCTTTTCCATTTCTGTGACTGTCCATGTCATTGTTGAGGATGACACCAAGTTCTACAATCTTTGCGACTAAACCCAATCTACTTTCACTTTCCCCATAGCAATTGGTTTCTGTTTGTCAAGGTCACTGTGAAAAGCTGTATGATCTATAATTTGCACAACAGCACATGGTCACAGGAGCAAACAAGGCTCCTGTCCGGCCCAGCACTAATGTCCTGGCAACTATCAAGAAGGAAGAGGGAAGCGCTTGCACATGCCTGCAGAGGCACTTTTGCCTTATTTTCAGGAAGGCTCCCTGCATACTGCCCAGGAGCTAAGAATGTGATAAAGAAAATGAAAGATGGTTCCTGTGTCTTAGGAGGAAGAATGTTGTTGTCAGAAGTGTGTTGAGGGACCCCTGTGAAAGCGGCCCAGGCAGAAGGCACAGCAGGAGGAGAGAGGGAAGGAAGCAAGATAGGGCAGTGGATGGAGGGAAGCTGGACAAGGAGCCTAGCTGTAGCCAGATCCTTGGGGGCTGTTATACCTGCTCTGTAGACAAAACGGCCCATGATCCTGTACGCTCTGAGCTGGTCCTTGGCTGAGGACCGCTGCAGTTGTAAGTTCTGAGGGAGACAGGCTCACACTGAGAGTGATACCCTGGTTGTGGGGCAGCTGGGGGTTCTCAGCACTTAAGCCACAGGGTAGTAATTCGGGTGGGTATGTTAGGCTTTGTGAAAGAACCTGGACAGGGGATAAGCAATGGCTTACACACACACACACACACACACACACACACACACACACACACACACACAGGTTGAGATATTCACCCTAGTACTTCACATCATGACCAGGTGGGGTGGGTACAGAGGTAGACAAGGATTGTGGCACATACCTGCAGTTCCAGCCGCTTCAGTCACTTCTGCTACGTTTGGAGGCCAAGGGCAGTCTGGACTAAGTCTAGGCTACAGGAAACCCTGCCTGGGAAAGCACAAACAAACAACAAAGTGTCTGCAGAGGTAAGCAAGTTAAAATGAGGTCACTGGAGCGTGACTGGTGTCCTCATAGCAAGTGGGGAAACTTGAATACAAACACACATAGAAGGCAGACAGTGTGGAGAGAGGCACAGGGAAAAGACATCTGCAGAACAAGAAGAAAGAGCCCCGGAGCAACTCCTTCCCTCAGAACCTTCCACAGGAACCAGCCTTGTCCACAGCGAGGTCTGGGGCTTCTAGGCTCTGGAATTGTAAGACAGTGAACTTCTGTTTCTTAAGCTTCCTAATATCTGGGATTTTGTTACAGCAACTCCAGGAAGCTAACAGAAAGGAGCATACCAGGGATGGGGGGGAACATAGCTTGCCTGTGCACCATAAGAAGAGTAAAACATTCTGGCTTACTGTTTAACTGAAGAGTGAAATAAGTCATTCCACAATGTTTCATGAGTGGCTTGATAAAGAGGGGAGTGAAAACCCTAGAACACATTGTGAGGAATAAATAGACAGAAATGCAATAATAATCTGAAATGTCAGTATTTCACATGGCAAATCAAGAGGATCCATGTTTAATGAAAGAAGTTTGAGATGATTAGTGTAACAAATTAGGTAGAATTAAAAGACACATAGAAACACAAAAGAAGTTAATATATTTTTCCAGTCATCAAAAATATCAAACAAAACAGAAAAACTATTCATATAAATGAAAAGGGGGAAATTTCTGCATCTGCATTACAAGCATAAAGGAACACAATCTGGCATACAAAATGTATCATAACTTGTTACAAATTTAAATTTTAAGCTGGGGAGGGGGATGAAGCTCAGTAGGGGAACATGGCTTACCATAGGCGAGGGTCTGGGTTCAATATTTAGCACCACTTTTTTAAAAATCTTATTTTGCAGATACATTTTATTATTTTACTTGTGTGCATGTTTGTGTATGTGCCACCTGTTTGCAAGTGCCAGAAGAGGCCAGAAGATAGTATCAGATGCCCTGGATCTATAGTTACAGGCAGTGGAGAACTGCTGGGTGTGGGTACTCAAAAGAGCAGCAAAGACTCAGTCACTGAGCCACCCATCCAGCCCCTAATTAATCTTTAAGTAACAATACGTAAGAGAAGAAACCTGCACAATGAGCCTGTGGATTCTCTTTTAAATCACGTTATACAACACACTTATAGAATTAACAATGTCTCCGGGTGGTGGTGGCACATGCCTTTAATCCCAGTACTCAGGAAGCAAACGCAGATGGATCTCTGTGAGTTTGAGGCCAGCTTGGTCTACAGGCTACACAGAAAAACCCTGTCTCAAAAGTGAGCCTCTGTCCTAGCATCAGCCTGCATTGTTTGGGGATTGACCCCCTTGGTCAACAACTGGATCCCTCACTGGATGCCTTGCCTGGCTACAAAAGATAGCCACTTCCGCCTCCATATCCTCCATTACTAGACCTCCTCACTAGGCGCAACCTCATAGATTCCAGGAAGTTTCCACAGTGTAGGCATTTTGGACGGATCCGGTGGGACAGGTGTTCTGGCACTCAGGAGTCACAGAATACTGAGTGTTACACAGCTCAGATGGAAAGGTATCCTGGAGTTCAGGAGCCAAGGACTACCACAGGCGGCAGTAAGCTTAGCAGTTTACAGCCCTGCCTCAGGGAAAGGCTTCCCAGTGCAGCTCTGCTCTGAAGGATGTTTGCCCAGTATAGCAGTTTTGCTCTGGCAGGAGGTTGCCCGGATGAAGTTGCTACAGTTCAGCTCTGCTCCTAGAAGAGTGGACAGCCAAGTGTAACATCTCCCCTCTGCCAGGGGAAGGCTTCCTCAGCAGAAGTGTTACAGGCCTGCTCGCTCTGGTCTGCCCAAGGTTGTCTCTGCTCCACTGCAAAAGAAATTCACCCAAAGCTCATCCAAGTGGTTTTTTGGGAGGGAAGAATCCAGGAGAGTGGCTGCCCTCTGCCAGAGTGGCAGAGGTCAGCCAGGTAGCGAGAACAGCCATAAACTGAACAGACACAGGCCTTATATAGGGCTTCCAGGGTAGGGATTGGTCAGATTTTAATGCTGAGCTCAGATTGGCTAGAGCTCCTGCTCAAGGATTGGTTAGTTTTTTGTACAGGGTTCGGGTCAGATTTGGCTCTGGTTTTAGGACCAAAGTGTGTTTCTTTCTGTGGTCCTTTTTAGCCTTTTGGCTCTAGTTTTAGGGCTAGGGTGTATTTCTTTCACTGGCTCTGATTCTGGGGACAAAGTATATTTCTTTGGCACTGGTTTCAGGGTCAGGGTACATTTCTTTGGTTCCGGTTACAGGGCCAAAGTGTGTTTCTTTGACCCTGTTCAGGGTGTTTCTTTGGCTGATCCCTTTTCCTCACACACAGGCCTCCCAAGTGCCCCCAATTCTAGCCTCTCTTCCCAAACTCTTTTAAAGGGAGAAAGAGTGGGACTGGAGAGCTGGCTCAATGGATAAGAGCACTTGCTATACAAACACGAGGACCAGAGTTTAGATCCCAGCTCTCATATAAGACACCCCACTGCTGTGGGGTACAGAGACAGGAGAAGCACTGGGGCTTGCTGGGCTCCAGCCTAGCTCCAAGCTCAGTGAGAGCCCCTGACACAAGCAAAATAGTTGAAGGGTGGTAGAGCAGGGCACTTGACATCATTTTCTGGTCCCCATCTATGTAAAGGTGTACACATGTGCACAAATGTGCATATGCACTACACACACATACACACACACACACACACACTTTAAGAAAACATCAACAAGAAAAAATGAGGTCTAATGAATTATGCATAAATAAAGTATGAAAAATGAAAGTTATTGACAGGAGTATGTTTCCTGGTTTGGTTTTGTTGTCTAATTGTTCTGTTTTTTTTTTTTCTTTTGAGACATGGTCCTACTAGGCAGCCCACACTGGCCGCCTGCCCTGGCCTCCCAAGTACTGGGATTACAGGCATGAGCTGTCACACTCAGTTTATCTGCAGGAATTTTTTGGCAATCTTTTAGTGCTAATCACTGAAATAAAAGGAAATAAAAATTAGTCATGTCCAGTTCAAATAAAAAGCTATTCTATGTAAACCAACACTTTGTTTCACTGAGCAGAGATATTACTATTTTCAATTATGTGATAAAACATTCACTGGCAGAAATGAAGTCAATGTTTTTAAGATCTAAAATATAATGCTGAGATGGCTGGCAGAGACCCAGGCTTCGCTCCAAAGACCTAGCCTTCTGAAGGACACTGTACAGTGTTCTCCAAGAGCCTTATGCAAACATGGTCTGCAGCTGTTGGCCACTGGTGATCCCACTTTGGGTGAGACACTAACAGGAGATGTTTTGGTGCAATAGACTTGTAGAAGAAAAGGCTGCTGGTTCCATTTAAATATACAGGAAAGGAGGAGAAGAAAGGCACTTGGCCCTTAAAATCATCTCTTTTTTTATTTAAGTTTGAAGTACAAAGATTGTGCTGATGTTTCAGTGTGTCCGGCTTGCCAACTCCATCACAACCAGAAATTAATTTAAGAGTAGCATACACAGAAGTTAACATATGGTTCATGTATAAAATACTTCCCGACAAGTATGAGGATGTGAATCTGGATCCTCAGAAAGTATGGAAAACCCAGGAAGGATTCATGTCCCACCAGCAATCCCAACGTCCAGGAGGCAGAGATGGAATCCCCAGGGCAAACTGGCCAGCAAGTGTGGCCAAGTTGGCAAGCTTTGGGTTTAACAAGAAGCCTCCACAAATCAAGTGGAGAGAGATGGAAGAAGACACCTAACACCCATATCTGCACACACACACACACACACCTACCTGTGCATGTGTGCCTGCACACATACGTATGCACACACTTGATAACACATATATACACATGCGCACAAGCACCACACAAATACGTAAGAACACTTTTAGGCCACAAATATGTAGTCAAGTATGGTTGCACACACTTTTAATACCAGCACTCAGGAGGCAGAGACAGGCAGATCTCTATGAGTTTAAGGCCAGCATGGTCTACATAGCAAGTTCCAGGACAGCCATGACTACATAGTAAGACCCTGTCTCAAAAGAAGAGGGGTGGGTTGGGGATTTAGCTCAGTGGTAGAACACTTGCCTAGCAAGTGCAAGGCCC